CTTCTTCCGGGTCTCCCACATGGATACAGAGGCCTAAGGGCTTGGGCCATCTTCTGCTTTCCCAGGCCATGGCAGAGAGCTGGATCGGAAATGGAGCAGCCCAGACTTGAATCAACACCCATATGGGATGCTGGCACTGCAGGTGGAAGCTTTTATCGGCTATGCCACAGCACAGGCCCCTTGAGTATTTCTTAAGTTATCTTAGTAACAATTTCATTAAGCCTTTCTCTATCTATGCAATGTATGGCTCACTTGGTTTTCCTTATCACAATTTGCTCAATGATTAGGTAGCAAAATGACATCCAATCCTATCTAGGATCAGAAGAGTATGAAAGTGCACATGTAAGCCACAATCTCCAAGATCCCTTTCAACAGAACCTCTACCATTTTGTAGATCTGGTATTTCTACAAAATTTAACCAGCAGTATCTTTCCCTATCTCCCTTCTTGATCAAACTATGTTCTCTTCAACTTGTTTCTATGCCTACCTCAGTATTCTTTAGTACTTGTTCCCTGATTCAGAAATTGAAAAGCAGATGATTAAAACTCTACTTTCCCTTGCTCTTCTATCCTGAAATCCCTTCTAAAAGATGCCCTTTTGAAAAATTAATGTGACTCAAAAAAGAAAAAAGAAAAAGATGAAAATTAACGTGGCTCTGCATTGAATACTTTTCATCACCTATGAAAAAAAACAGCTAATGGCTAAGACCACCTTGCCATTTCAGAGCCTAAGTCATTTTATAGGCTGCAAGATACAAAGTTCTCATTGTGAATTCTAATCTATAATGAATAGTATTCAATTTTAGGAAAATAAAATCACAGGAGTAAACCTGACTTCTCTGGAAAAAAAAAGAAAAAGAAATAACCAAACATAAGAGTATACGTGTATACACAGACACATTGTTTTAAGAAAGTTAGATGGGAAATCCAAATTAATAGAACATATATGATAAAAGAAAAGCTTATTTGTATTAAGCCTCAAGACAATTTTCTTTTAGTAGGTCTAGAAAAATGGTAGGTGTTAGAAGTTGATTCACCGGATTTCTGTTTTTTAGTTAAGCATGAATTTCAAGCATTTTCTTGGGCCCTCCTTTTTTATTATTATTTTTAACCAATAGTCAAGTTTTAGCCCTCCCATTCCTATACATTCCCATGTTTCCAGAGACCTGAGGTCTTAAAGGCTCAGCAACATGCCATATCAAATCTGAACTTCCTATGTGGAAGAACTAGTATAAAACGTTCCTTTCCACTGAAATTGACAAGGAAATATTAATTCATCCAGCAAAAGGCCTATGGCAGGATCAGTTACTGTATGTGATGACTGCAGTCGCCAGTAAGTGAAAGTGATGACCGCTGCAAGTTAATTACAGATTTCGATCTCAATGGTCCCTGTGAGCTCTAAATCCTTTCACCGAGGAGAAGCAGATCCTGAAATCACCGTAGCACAGCTTTCAGCTACTGGAGTGCACATCCGAACACAGATCTTTCTCCAGTCACCTCACTCAGTTACGCCAGAGCACAACTGGTTACCATTGTACTTAAAATAAAGCTTCCACTTTTCCTTCAAATTCAGAAGCCCAACAAGAAAACAAAAAGTATGCAGAGGGTACATGTCCTTGGATCCCACTAGAGTTCTGACTAGTTAAATGCTAGATGCTCCACCTAGAACTTGGGATTTGCAGCTGAGAGCAAAGCACAGAAACATATTATGCAAACTGCACTGCCAAGGAAAGAGGTTTTCCCTAGGTGGTCCCTGGCATTCGCATTTCACAAAGCAAGTACAAGGCTCCCCAGCTGAGCAGGTGGTTTCGCTGGATCTGCCGTGGAGGGCTGCTTTGCTCTTTCTGTCCACACTATCCACTCCTCCTCTACCTCCTGACGAGCACATGGGGATGGCTGGTGAGAAGTTCAGTTTCCAATCCTTGAACTATCCACTACTTTCTGTCAAAGCTAATGGCTCTGTCAAACCCTGGTAACACTTGTGAATATGGAGCAAAATTTTTCCCATAAATTAAACAATTCGGGGAGGGGGGGTGTCACAGAACAGTGGAGAGGAGGAGACACGAAATAATCGAGGAAATAAGTACTCAAAAGTGAACAGGGACACAGAGTAAAGTTGACGCAGACTTCCAGGGCTCGTTTTATACTTGTTTTAGTACTGTTCATTCTGCCCCTTCTCAAGACGGCAAAGGACCTGGTGTCCCACGCTCAGTGTCTAAGATCAAAGCTGAAAGAAAGGTATGGGAGCAGAGCTCCTTCCCAGCTCTGGGATGTTCATCATCCCCTTCCCAACTCCAATCTGGGATGTTCTCCATCACCTCCCTTCCATATCTTCACAAACAAAGTACTCGTTAGGCACCCACTGTGCTAGGCAAGGGGGCAGAATCTGCAAGCCAGGCCTACGTTAACTGCACTGACTTATAGAAACAGTTACCCTTCCGGTCTCTGTAAACAGCTGTCTTTTAAAAATGATTCAATGGGGGCCTGCACTGTGACAAAGTAGGTTAAGCAGCCACCTGCAACACTGGCATCCCACATGAGCACCAGTTTCAAGTCCCAGCACTCCACTTCCCAACCAGCTCCCTGCTAATGCACCTGGGAAAGCAGTGGAAAATGACCCCAGTGCTTGGGCTCTTGACACCCACAAGGGAGACCCTGATGCAGTTCCTGGCTCCCGACTTCCTCTGGCCCAGCCTTGGCCTTTGCAGTCATTTGGGGAGTGAACCAGCGGATAGATCTCTCTCCCTCTTTCTGTATAACTCTGCCTTTCAAACAAATACATTTTCAAAAAAAAAACCTTAATATCCTTAAAGTTAAATTTATTGCATGTATCTATTAGAACATTAAGTCTTCAACAACAACAAAATTTAAAAAGTCTTTAGGTTCAGGGGAAAACAATTCAATTATGTATAGTTTCAAATTTCCTCACACATTGAGTGAAGCCCCATAAGGCATATAAACTCTTAAGAAAAAAGAAAAAGAAAGCAAACAAATCCCTGAAAATGAAAAAATAACCACATCGACTAGGAGTGCCCAGCACCAGGCAGCTCCCTCATGAAATATTTGTGACACAAAAGCTAAAAAGCTGCATCCATTCACTGAGGCAGGTGAGCTCAACACCCACCTGCTGGGTCACTGCTGATGACCAGACTTGGTTTTCAAACTTCAGTTTTAGAATCACCTGGAAAGTCTGTTTGAAAGGCAAATTCCTCAACCCCACGCACCAAAAACTCTGGTTCCAGAAGCTGGAGCCCGCATTTACACTGCAGCACTCTGAGGTGGGTGGTCGGAACACTGGCTTCCCCTCTCCGGGGGCAGGCACTGGATCCGAACAGGTACCAGTTTGAGGGCAGAAGAATCGACTGTCTCTAACCTAAATTATACATTACTCAGTTCTCTTAGTTAACCACAGTCCACCAACTTAAACAGGCGGGATGAGACGTGTGTGAACAACGCAAACTGTCAACAAAGTCACCAACAACACACTTTCCTGACAACACCCCAGTTACTCTTATTGTTTAGAAAGAGTAGGAACAAAGCAAGGTAAGGACTGTAATCCAGAGAAACATGTGTGTAACTGTGTTGTGACAGCTACAGGTGGAAAAAGGACCCACACTCACAACGCTGACTAGAGTACTATGCTGTCAGTACTGGCAGCCGCAAGCCGCACGTGGCCACTTCAATTAAAACTTAAAATTTGGTTTGTCAGTTACACTAGCCACATTTCAACTGTGCATAGCCACATGTAGCTAGTGGCTGATGTGGATAGGACACGGAGGGAACACTTTCAGTGTCACTGGACATTCTACTGGAGAAGGCTGATGCGGAGGTAGTATCTAGATTTAACACATACATGTATGTATATATATATGTATATAAAATCTTGGTTCTCTACAACAAGTAGGCTCTGCAATTTCCAATTTTACACACACACATCTACTTTAGGTGTTAACCATAAAAGAGGACCACCAGCATAATGTTTTCTACAAGTGTTTCAATAAAAGTTTTCAAAAGCGATAAGCTTATTCATCTAAGATGATCAAAACAGAAATATTTAACAAGGCCTGAAAGTGCGAAAGGCACTAAAACCACAACTAGGATGTCACCAACCAGCATTGATGAAAAACGTTTAATTACCAGAAAACAAAAGATAGGAGGTACAGTAAGACCGGTCCAGAAGACGGCAACGACTCAATGGGACTGGTTCTGCAGGTACCTGAGAAATACCTGTTTATATGCATCACGGATAGCGGCTTCCTAACTGGTCTGAAAATGACCTCTCCACAATTAATTCAAGTCAGTAGCATTTTACTGCCTCCATCTTTGATTGCTTCCACCAACCTCACACTAAACTCCTACAGATAACATAATGACCACAAGGTTTACTTGACTATGATCTTACAACAGGATTATTTGTTTAAAAATCATGAGCAAGTCCTTATATTAGCAGAAAAGTAGACAAAATTGAACAATTTACAACTTGAAATTCTCTTGCTTGACTGCATCATTACCTGGTCTAAAGCAACCCAATGTAACAAAACACAAAAGCACTGGTGACCAGACACTAAAACCCAAGAATTAACTTCCTATGTAAAGTTGGCCTTGCTACACAGCAGGAGTAAAACTTCAACAGACTCACAACTACAGGCCAACTGAATGCAAGCTTTCCCTCAATGAGAACCATCATTCTCAAACTCTCAGGAGTTTAAATATGCTCAAACATGATCTCAAAATTACAAAAGGCAATTATGGCTCTTAATTAGAAAGTTCTGTCCCACCAAAGGATAGCTGTTAAGGACGATCTAACACATTTAAAATATAAAAACGAATGCTAACGTCACTACAGAGTTACGGTTGTGGGTCCAATGTTCCCATCTACATTGTTGATTCCATAAGCTTATCTTGCTTCAGAGGCCTATGCCCAATCTAAGAGTTGGCAGAGAACAGGCAATTAACCAATCATTACCAAAACCACTGAAAAAGCCAGGAAAGAAGACTTACCTGCGACACTAGTGATTGTTACTGGAACTCCCTGCACTTGAACGCCTGCAGCACCCAGGTTGGCAACGCTCACTGTCTGAAGGTTAGGCACTGAAGCGAGCTGGGCAGTATTCAAAGTTATTGGGGCACCAGCAACAGCCACAGGAGCTATCTGGGCAAGAGTTGTGCCACCACTTGAAGACACTGGGGTGATGGTTAATTGTTGGGATAACCCAGCATTCTGCACTTGCAAATTTGAGAGACTCTGAATATTCTGAACCTGTACAGTTTGCCAACTGATTTGCCCTGAAGGTGTTAAAGTTGGAGCCCTGATAAGCACCTGAGTCGGGTTGACCGCTTGCAGTTGAACATTCTGCAGAGGCTGCTGCTGGATAGTCTGAATCGTCTGCCCTGACTGCAGCTGAAAGGACTGTGGCGGAATAGCCTGGATGATCTGCTGCTGAGGCTGCTGGATCTGGATCTGCTGCAAGATGGGCTGGCCTACGATCTGCACCTGCTGGAGAGAGTTGGGCTGATCCTGGGCATTCTGTATTCCGTTAGGCTGGAGCTGACTGGAGCTCTGCGCTTCAGACTCCGTGGGCGCTGGCTGAGAGTCTTCCACGGTGCGTTCAGAACTACTGGCGGATGTGCTTGCGTACTGGCCCGTGTCGGCCGAGCTCACCAGGGTGTCACTGCTCGTCAGGGATGTCGAGGCGGTGGTCGTGCAGGTGGTCGAGGAGGAGGGAGACTCTGGCATGGTACTGGCGGAAGCCGTGGTGGTGGTGGGGGTGGAGGCTAACTGATTCCCATTGGAAGTCCCGCTGTCGGTAGTCGTGGCAGGCTGGCCCACCTGCCCGGTCCCTCCTCCAGCAGTCACATTATTGATCACTGGCAAAGCCAACGTCACTCCTCCAATGTTAATTGGCAGGGTTGTTACAACTTGCGCCTGAGTACCGGGAAGGGTCTGTAATTGCAGTGGTATTGAAACCCCAGGTCTGATTTGGACAGGAACTGTCTGGTTGGCCAGGTTTTGAGCAAGGATGTTCCCGGAAGCTGTCCTGTTAGCAGCTGTGAGTATAGCTTGATTATTACCTGCAGAAATGAGCTGAATTTGACCCTGCAAATCCTGGAGAGATGAACTACTGCTTGGATTGATTTGAATTTGCTGCCCTTCCACCGCCTGCAGCTGTGGGATCACTTGGTACTGGACGCTACCACTTGGGTTTTGCACTTGTAGGACTTGAAACTGACCGGGGGCGGAAGAGTTCCCTGACTTGGCTTTTGTAGGAGATGCACTCCCGTTATTACTGCTGGAAGAACTAGACGAACTAGAGGCGGGCTGAGAAACGTTATTCTCTTTTGAAGCGGGTGGAGTGGAAGCAACAAGTTGCCAGGCGTTCCCAGCGAGTTGCGTGGTGACCAGTTCTAGCTGTTGTGGTTGATTCTGAAGCTGCACCAGTCCTTGGCTTGGGTCTATAATAATCTGCTGCTGTCCAGTCGCTTGGTTTTCACCAGGAGTCCCTATTTTGCTGCAAGTAGCTGCCAGTAAAGCCAGAGGAGAGGGCTGAGAGTCCTATCCAAAATAGGATGGCAGAGGAGAAGGGGGGGAAAAAAAGGGGGTGGGTTTAGTGGACACCAGCAGTTGGGAGGGGGTATTTTATGTATGTATGTATGTATGTATGTACTTTGACAGCTCTACCCTACCAGAACTTGGGAAGCGGCAGAAATCCAAAAGCAAATGGGAACAAGAGTAGGCAAGAGCTCCAGGGACAAGGAGGCAGAATCTACCCTTTAAATCAAGGCAGACCTCTAAGAAACTTTCTCAAGGTGTCAATTTCCCGAACTCTCCCCTACCCCTTGGGAACACACACCGGGGAGGGGGGGGGACAGCCCGAGCTCCTGATGTAATTGTCAGGCAACGCTGCGCCCTGAAACGCGCGAGACCGTCGTGAACTACCATTTAAGTTGCTCACTCTCAGAGAAGATGCTTGGAGCGGATCAATGTTTTTATTCTGTGCTTTACTTCTGGGCATTTAAAGGGCCAGAACTCGCTGTCTCCCCTGTCGTTCTGCGATGCATATTTTATTTTTTTTAATATGTATACACACACACACACACGTATCTACGCACGTCTGCCTTTACCTGGGAGCCTGAGGTTTTAGGTTTTTTATTGTTATTCTCTGGCTCAGAGGTTTTCCCTCCTTCCGTAGCCATCGCCGCCGCTGCCGCCGCCGCCTCCTCCTCCTCCTCCTTCTTCTGATCTGCAACCCCCCCCCAAACGCACGACAACAGGTTATTAGGATTATTATTATTCGCCGTCCCCTCCTCCCCGCGGACATTAATCTCCATCCAAGCCGCGATCCACGCTCGCCGGCAGGGGGGTGGCGGCGGAGGAGGGGGCGCCACGAAACGTGGCTGTGGAAACCCGACCCCGCGGCTCCGGAGCGACACGCCAGGAGGAGGCTGCCCCGACCGCAGGGACAAAACGCGAGCCGCCTCCCCGGCCAGCATCTCGCGGCCCCCGGGGGAGGGGGCGCAGCGCGCGGGGTCTGGGGCGGGCGGGAGGCGGCGAAGCAGCCCGAGGGGGGTGGAGAATACGTACCGCTCATCCCGCATGAACGGGGACGAACCCTCCGCCGGAGACACTGGGCTCGAGGTGGGTGGGGGTGGGGGCGAGGCGGGAGGAGAGGCCGGTCCCGCCCGCCCGCCGAGGCTCGGAGGAGGCTGTAGCTGGCACAGGCTCTGCCTCTTTTTCCGCGAATGGCCGCCGCTGGGCTGTGGCGTAGCAGCTCCTCTCTCCGCCCGAGCCCGGCTGACTCGCCCTTGATTGACAGCGGCGGCGCGCGGCGCGGGCGGGGGGCGGGGCCAGGGCGGCGCGAGCGCGGCCGACTCCCCACCCCCCTCGGCCTCTCTCCGCCGGAGCCGCCGACTCTCCACCCCTTCCCCCAGCGGATTGGCCGCCGACCTGCCGGGGGCCGGGGCGCGGGGGCCGCCCCCTCTCCACCCCCTTTCCTCGGGGCTGTGCGCTCGGCGGCGCTTCTTCGCCTCCCCGGGCCGCTCTCGCGCTCGCCTCGCCTCGCCCGGCCTTCTTAGTTGAGGCGCGCTGCCGCCAGGCTCTCCATGCAGCCGAACTTGTTGTCTCAGGATATCCCGCCCCCTACTCACTCCCCGGCGCCCGCCACTCAAGAAGCCCGCGCCGGCATCCCACCCGCCGCCGCCGCCGGCCCCTGAGAGGAGGAGTGGGGCTAGCGCTCCGGCAAGGCGAGAGCGGCGCCCGCGCGGACCCTCGGCCCACTCGGCACGGCGGCCGGCGAGCCCACTGCCCCCGCGCAGGGAGCATGGCTTTCCTGAGGCGCATCCGGACCCGGGCGCCCTTTTTCCCCGGCTCGGCTTCCATTGGCTGAGGCACCGGTGACGCGCGCTGAGTGGTGGGAGAAAGGGGGCGGGGCGACGCTGCCGCAAAGCCTGTCGGCCCTTGTAGTTTCCGGCGACCGCGGGCGGAAGGCACCGCCTCCCTTCCCGCCCCCGGCCGCGGCCTGGCTGCTGGGCGGAAAGCAGCCCGAGGGGGCGGTGGCGGCAGGGCGTGGCCGGGGCCGAGTGGGAGTAGAGCTGAGCGAGGGGGAGGGGGAATGGGTGTCGCTAGTCTGGGCCTATCCGCCGCGCGGGGCTGCCCCAGCCACCTCTGCCGCCGCCCCCTCGGCTGCAAGCCGCTCCCGGCGGGGCGAGCGCACACCCGCGGCGCGCGGCGATTGAGCGGGCGGCGGCGTGGGGAGGCGGGGTTTGCCGGCCTCGGGGTTTGAATGAACCCGGCTCCTTGGCGGCCGCGCCTTCTCCTCGCCTTTCTTTGCTCACCTTGCCTTCCGGGGCCTCTCGCTTCCAGGCTAAGGCCTGTTTGTTTTCCCGCGGAGCGGGACCTCCCGGGTCTGCGGGTGGCCTCTGGCCAGCTGGTGTCCTGGGGGCTGGCCGGCGGGCGCGTTCCCCTTCTGGATCTCACAAGATCCTCCAGACGAGGGAAAGAAAGCCCGGCCCCGGGTGGGTCAGCCCTGGCTCGGAGTTCAGCCTAAGCTGCCCTCTAGGCAGGTGCACCTCCTGTCTGGCTGTCCCGGCTCTCCTGCGCACTGCCCTGGCCGCAGCTTCCCTCCAAAGTCGTGAAGTCGGGGCGAGGCCCCTGAACTAGGATCGGTGCCTGGTCACGTGGAAGTAAGTGACCAAACGTGGAAGTGGCCTTGGGGACCAGGCACCTGCCTGCGCAAACCACCCCCTCCACCCACACACAGACAGCCTTGGGTGCATAAGGGTGAGGGGGTCCCAAGTGCTGCACTTGACTGGCATTGCCTTTGCAACGTTGTGCAGCAAGGCAAAGCAGTTCCAGTCAAGAATTACGTGGTATTGTCTACCCCATCCCATAAAATGAGCCTAGGATCCTTAAATAACCAGCTCCCCCGCCCTACCCCCTCCTCGGGCGTAATATAAGAAAGCACAAAAGTGTTCCTTGCCTCTAGTTGATCCTCTCCATCCTGGGGTCCCCGCCCCCCCAACCCCGTTCACCATAATGAATGGAGGACGACATTTTGCAGTCTCGTGAACTGGGGCATTCCTTGTAGTTTGCTTACTTTAGAAAACCTGCTGCAGACAGGCAACGTCACTGGCTGTGAACCACAGGATAAAAATAATACTTGGCCATTCAGCCTAGATCTACAAAGTATCCTAAACATTCTGGGCTCCACACTTAAGTAGTTCTACCGATAACAATGAAACATAGTTGCAAGCCCTGCTTTTTATTGGAGGGATCAAAAGCTTTCAGCCCTGTGCTTGTTACAGACTGAATGTCTGTGTGTGCCCCCCCCCACAACTCCAACTCCTGTGCTGGAGTTCTGCCCCCCCACCCCACCCCCAGAATGCCGATATTAGGAGGTAGGTCTTTGGGAGCTAATTAGGCTTAGATGAGGTCATGATTTGCAGCTCCCATGAATGAGATTAGTGCCCTTGGAAGAGGCAGGAGAATGCTTGCTTCCTACTGCCTTGCTGTCCATCATGGGAAGGCACCATTCAAGGTCAGGTGGCTGTAACCCTCAGAGGGCCCTCACCAAAAGAGGACCCAGCTAGCATCCTGAGCTCAGACATCCAGACCCCATAGGCATGAGAAATAAAAGTCTGTTGCTTGTGGCCCACCCAGCCTAGGATATTGTTTTAGCAGCCTGAGCTGATGGAGGTCCAGCTGAGCCATGAGACCTGGAGCAAGTGACAAATCAATGACTTCTTAGGTGCCACCACTTTGTCACTTGTATAACAGACGAGCTGTTTCCAATGGTGCTGTCATTCCCACACCACCTTCCTCATGTATGTCCTACCTATGCTGTGACTTGCTTAATTTTTCCTTTAAGCCAATATGATTTTTAAAAATAATTTAGGAAGTCTATATCATGACTTTAAGTGGGAAGCCAGTTTTGCTATAGAGATGGGTACTGACGAAGACCCTGTTCTTTAGCCAAACTTGATTCAGGCACTTCCGTGTCTCAGTCTTGTTTCAGCACAAATTCTTGCTGGGCCATTTTGCTGAAAATCCAACACCTTTGGTGTCTGACCACCTTTGAGATTGAATCAAAATCCTTATCCCCCATCCTTGAAGTCTGATCAACTGGGTCAATCTTCAGCGATAATCTTTATTTTATTTGGTTTTATTTTAAAGGCTGAGAGACGGAGAGTGCATCTATCTGCTGGTTCATTTCTCAAGTGCCCACCACAACCAAGGCTGTGGCAGGCCAAAAGCTGCAGGCTGGAGCTCCAGCCACATCTCCCAAGTGGGTGGCAAGGACCCCAGTTATTGAATCATCACCTGCTGCCCTGCAGGGTGAACATTAGCGAGGACTTGGAATCCAGAGCAGAGCCTGGACTTGAACCCAAGCAAATATGGGATGGGGTACGACAGGTAGCATCTTGAGTGCTGTCCCAGATGCCCACCCGATCAGCAACAGTCTTTTCCAATCATTTTAGCCACTGCTCCCTTGCCTTGGCTATTTCCTCTTGGTCAATATCTATTCTCTGATCTCTGCTTCTCCTTGTTCTACTCACAGTTGAATCCAATCTCTCCCACCGCAAGACCCCACGGCAGGGGTCGTTGCTTTGGCGTAGTGGGTAAAACCGCCGCCTGCAGTGCTGGCATCCCATATGGGCATTGGTTTGAGTCCTGGCTGCTCCACTTCTGATCCAGCCCTCTGCTTTGGCCTGGGAAAGCACTAGAAGATGGCCCAAGCCCTTGGACCCCTGCACCCACGAGGGAGACCCAGAAGAAGCTCCTGGCTCCTGATTTCAGATTAGCTCAGCTCCGGCCATTGCAGCCATTTAGGAAGTGAACCAGCGAATGGAAGCCCTCTCTTTTGCTCTCTCTCTCTCTCTCTCTTTCTCTGCCTCTGTCTCTCTCTCTGCCTCTGTCTCTCTGTAACTCTGCCTTTCAAATAAATAAATAAATCTTTTAAAAAAAATGAAGACCCCACTGCAGTGGCCCCTACATCATCTCAGTCTCATGGCAAGTATGAAGTTGTCTTTCCCATCTTTAACAAATACCATGAATAATTTTCTTCTTTAGCAGTATAAATATAGATTCTACAAACTTCTCAGCTTCATGCCCATCAGGTGGTCTTTCTCCCAAGGACACAATTACTCTACTAAGTTTCTTTCCTATGCTCATATAACCCCCATAGCAGTGGCTTTCAAACTTTCTTTTATTATGACTCAAAGGAATAAGTGTATTTTATATCAGGACCCAGTGTGTACATTCACAGGCACACACAGGGGATCAGTGTTCTTTCTCTAAATATTTAACAACGCTGATCACTCAGATTGAACATTGGCATAATGCTCAGACTACCCACAGGCTCCCCTTATGGCTGCTGGGTAGAGGACTCCAGCAGATGCGGAAAGAATGTTGGGGCAAGGAAGGACAAGGACACCAGTTATTTGTCCAGGGATAGCAGCTTTTGGGGTCATAGCAACACTGAGTGTCAACCAGTTTCGTTCACAGGAACGAAACCTCAGGAAATCGTAGTCAACATATGGATGCTGGTCTCTGCTTCCTCCCCAAATCCCCACCCTGCCTTACAAAAATTCTAGTAGCAACCTAGGAGTTTGAGGAGAACAAACCAACCAACCAGCGCCATGGGCTCTCCCTGCCCCCATCCTGCTTTGTAGGAGCAGCAGGTGCATATTCCCAATTATGCTGCAAAACACATGGAAAATCCAAGTGCATCTCCTGTGCCTTGTTCTACACACCTACATCAATGCTCAGATGGCATTGGGAAAAGTGTTGTTGGAATTTTTCACAGATATTTCTGATATAAAATCTTTCTTCCTCCTCCCCCTCCCCAAGTCTGTCTCCTTACCTCTCAAAATAAAAACTCAAAAAAAAATTTTTTAAACCAGAGGGTGCAGGATTTTGCCTAGTGGTTTACACCACCCATGTCCTACATTGGAGTGCCTGGGTTGGATATGTGGCTCCAGCTTCTGCCTGCAGCTTCCTCCTGATGCACACCCTGGGAGGCAATGGTGGAAGCTTGAGAACTTGGGTTCCTGCCACCCACCTGGATTGCGTTCCTGGCTCCCAACGTTGGTCCTGGCCCATCCATCACTGTTGTGGGTGTTTGGGGAAGTGAACCAGCAGAATGGAGCCCTCTGTCTCTCTGCCTCTCAAATAAATAAAAATTTAGAACTTAAAAAAAAAATTACAATGTCCACTGGTCCTCAC